AAAATTACCATATTCATACTATATATCTTTTACTTATTTATCTTTTTATTTTTAACTTTCCACAGTAGAACATAACTTCTGTGATGACAGGGATATTTTTCTGTTTGGTTTACTGCTGGGGAGTGCCCAGTGCCAGTACACAGTAGGCAGTCACGTAATATTTGTTGAATGAAAGAATATTGCTTCATAAAGTCCCTCGTGCACGAAAAGGGCGGCAAATCGTTCATTATGAAACAGCTGAAATGAGACTTGCCAGTGGGAATGATTTCCAGGGTGTGGCCAGAGGTGTGGAGTTCCTAGCAAAGTGGAGAGAAAGCCTGAGAAAGCTTGTTGGAGAAGACATCAAGAGACTCTGGAGCCAGTGTGTGGGACGGGTCACACACATACACTCTATGTCACAGGATGATGTTGGGAAGTGAGGTGGCACAGAGGATAACATGCAAACTGCCAGCATCTCTAAGATAAATGCAGAGGACTGCTCTGCAGTCAGCTGTTAACAGCAACAAGGAGTGGAAGATCCTGGAATTATCAGACAGCTGCTTTCACAATCAGGAAGGTTTTGGAAGTAGCATTAGGGAGCTGGGGGAATCCAAACACTGCCTCCTAGTCCCATGATGAACAGTCTATGGAAGACTGAAGAGAGGTCTCCATGGAGAGTGCTACGGAAATGATGGCTCCCAATAGAGCCAGGATTTCGTCAGGAAACGGGTGGGTAAGTTCAGCTGAGAGACTGAAATGTACAGAAGGGGACTGTTAGGAATGTGATGTTCCCAGTGGGATGGGAGAAAGACCAGCGAATAGAAGCACAGAGCAGTGTAGAGAGAAGCGTGTGTGAGATAGAAGAGGCTGTATAAGCAGATGATAGAGCTAATATTCTCACACGAGGCCACTTAAGAACTTAAGGTAGCAGGTTTTTTGTTTGTTCATTTTTCACCACCACATATAAGATGATTTTGTAGTTTAAAAAGCTAGCCAAAGAGAAGTGCAGCACATTACTGAAAACATCTCGATGTTCAAACACTCTGGGGAATTGTTCAAATACCTAGCAGTCATATCTTCTATTTAATATTTGTCATGGAAATATCTTGCCCTCCCACCTCAGAATACTTGATAGCTTCAATAGGATACAGTCTTTGATGAATTTAAAAAGCTATCGCCATTTGAAACCTTTACTGTTTTTTTTCCAAACTTAAATTGAATTTTTATTATTAATGAATATTTCAGTAAAGCTGTTTAAAAAAGTAAAACACTTGGAAAAGCACTGGGTCTCGTGAATTAGAACCACTAACAGTTTTCTATCTCTATTATTAACTTAAATTTGGAAGTGTGAGGCACCTCATGTTATCTTCAAATAAACTCATATGCCAATTGATTACTTTGTTGATTGGTTGGTCAGTAGCTCAAACATTGACTAAAGTGACAATGATGTCTAAAGCAGTGTAAGAATAAAATGATGAATAAGACAGAGTAGGGTTTCGAACACTATTTAGAGGTCAATAAATAATAATTGAAAAGCTATTTGGAACTGATGGCTACTTTGACATGGGAATCTTTCTTCATCTACATTCCGGGGATGAAGAATTGAAGATAATGGTAATTAATACTAATAGTAACAAATGTGGGTAAAACCAGAGTGTCCTAGAAGAATATGTTAGAAATCCTACTCAATAAAACATGCTGAAGGAAAATGTTTTTGAAGCGCAAAAATGTAAGTGTGGTCACTATTCTCAAGGTAAATTAAAATGTCACCATTTCTATATCATTTCATCATCACAGCAGAATAAAAAAAATTATTCTTGGTTTCACTAGCTAAAAATATCCAAGTATTGAAAACAAATCTCCACTTAAAAAATATAGCCATTTTTGCTCAGATAGCAAGGCATCATTTTGTTTCTTCTAAGGCTTCCCTTGAAGTGCATTTGAATATACTTTTATCTGCATAAGCATTTTTTAGGGAGAGAAACAGTGACACCTACATTCATGACATGGCTATTCTCATACCCTTTCAGGAAGCCTCATTTATACTTAATCTTGAACAAAGTCCAAGATTAAGATAATACAGTACTAGAGATTCCAATTAATTTTTATTAAAACTCTTCTTGCATGACTTCTCTTGGCCCAAATTGAGATGCTTAAGGAATTTGAATCTAACTAATTAAAATGGCAATATTACCAACTTTAAATACCCAGAAATCTACTGACAAATATGTTTTCATAAAACATGATATGTTATTCCACACATTTATTAAATATTCATATTTGATTGAGAATATGTATTTTTAAAACAAACAAACTGACAACCAAAAATGTCTTTAGATTGGTTTCTTCAAAAAGGGTCTCTGTCTCTCAAAACAGACCCACAATAAAGTATAAACAAATAAGCCAGCACATACAGTAGCCAGAACAAACAACAAAAAACTGTCAAAGTTGGTTTTTTTTGAGCCCCAGACAATCATTTGAGGGTTGGCAAAGTGCCTTGCTTAATTTCCTAGTCAAAAGAGGGTAAACTACATCATTTGCTGTGACCAGATGGAAACAAAGTGCCTTTAAGTATACAGGTAGTGCTTTACTTCAGGATTACCACCCTATGCAACTGTAGGTTCTTTTGCAACATGCTGATTAGTAAAAAAAATACTTAGGCACTTATTAATTTCATCTAATTCCAAAAGAAAGCTTAGGAGGTCACAAGCTGTGGACTTTGCATCTTGGTTATCACAAAATTAATGACCCAAGGCAATGAAGTCTTTGACTTCATGTACAGAAGATACGTCCTCTACTGCTTATTCACCTGTCCTTTACCCAAGCCAGTCCAAGAAATCAGAATGTTTGCGAAATTTGAAATCAGATTATCTTTCCTACTACTACCCAAGCTACTTCTGGATAAGTTCTAGCTAAGAACTTCCATCTCTACGACTATCTTCCCAGCAAAAGTCATTGTTGAGGGAAAAGAATCCACAACTCTACAAACTATATATGTATATCAGCCATTCTAATTTTTAAAATTGCATGAAAACACACACTCGAGTTATCAAAATTCTATTTTGTTCTCATGAAACACAAAGGCAAGTTCAATATTTAGATTCAATTCTAGAGTGGAACGCTTTTTGGCCAACTTTTGACCCTGGGATAAAGGTAGCAATTTAAAATCCTGGAAAGTAGGGTCTTATGTGATAAATTTTTATGTGTAAGATAGCCCATAAATTAAGTTCAATTACTGAACTTCTCCCCCCGTCACCATTAGTTTAAATGGTCCATTTAGTCAAATGACTGGCCTGTTAAGATGATTTAGAACTTAAATATAAAACAGAAGAACGCTTATCCTTAATGTAGAATATAACAAATGATCAAACATTGAGGTTAGATATTTGACATTGTATTTAGATATATTTTCATTAATCTTCTAAAATGGCAAGTCCAGCAATAGTTGTCCATTTTACTGCAGCCATCTCATTGCAATTTCAGGAGATGCAGATCAAACTTAGTATTATACTCCTTTTTTCATTTCCCAGTTTTTCTCATCTCTTATACAGCATTTCTTGTCATAAGAATGTATTTACATATTTACATTTTATAATAGTGGAGGTTGCATCTGAAATATTAATTATCCAAAACAAGTTAAATGCCAATACCAACCAAAAATGTCGTATTTGTTGCACTGCATTTGCAAAAGAGTTAGGAAAGAGCCCTGGTTGACAGAGTTAAGTTCCTTGGCCAAAAAAGGTGTGTTTTGTTTTGTTTTCAATTGACCATAGTTAATTAAATAACCAATATTAACTGCAAATTAGCTTTAATTTTTTCAATGTGAAAAATTGAAGATCATATACTAACCAAATTCATGTAATATTTCCTTTAGTGTTTAACATTTTCTAAGTAGCCATAGCATTTTCATATGGAATGTGAGACCAGAACTTTTGAAGAGAACTGGGATTTGGAAATGCAGATGGGGAAAGAAGGATGGGGAGTATAGATTAGAACCTGGTATGCTATGCACTACTTACCTTCAAAAGTCAAATAAAACTTTCCTCTGTCAAACCAAACGAGGGAAGGCTGTTCATTCTCTGTATGGCCAGGAGTTGAAGCGGGATGGGAAGGGTTAAGGAAAGGGAGAGAGAAGGACACAATGTGAGTTACAGAGCAGGTCATTAATCTCACTATAGGGAAGGGTGGAGGCACTACATGCCATTAGCGTGCAGGAAAAAGGGAAGGCTGGCAATCTATGCATTTTTTTTCTTTTTTTTTTTTTAGTTCAGGAAACAAAAAGCAAAAGCAAAGCTATGGAGGCCTAAAGGAATGGGCACGTGTTGGTGGTCGCTTGACATTTGGTACTTGTGTGCATGGAGTGGAAGTCTTCCTGGCCATGCAGGGGCGTCAGCATATTTTAACTGCACTAATTTGGGCAAACTGTCATTCAGCAATGGCTGTATCCATTTCATCTTCAATGTCATCCCCTTCTATGTTTCCAGAAAGATAAACTCAGAGTTACGGATTGTAGAAAACATTAGCTTAGGTTTTAAATGACAAAGCATTGCATATCAACATAAATTTCAGGGAAGATGTCAGATATCTTCCTTTCCCCTCCCCTGGAATCACCTTAGGCATCCAGACACAAAACACCCTTTACCTATGTACCAAAGAGAAAACAAGATTACTAATGATGCTCTATTATTTTTTAAATTAAAAAGCAGTGACCGGACATGTAATTCTGAGCAGTTAAATTATTCCTTCCTCTGTAAAGTCACAAAGCGATAGCATCTCACCTTTTTCTTTTGAACCTCTTCACTGAGAAACTGTCATGCAACCTGCTGCTTTTTAATACAGTCATTTAAAAACTTTCAGTGGCGTGAGTCCTACAATGAACAGTAAATATACAGGGTGCATCTGAGAGGCACTGGACACTCATGAGGTGAGGAGCATGTCCATGAAGTTTATAGCATTCAGATGGATAATGGCTTGGATTTTTGAAATCTAGGTCTCTAGAGATCACTTGGCTAGCACCATACCTGCAGGCGTTTCACAGCGCCTTTCAAACGAGGGCAGTTTGTCATAAAAAACATCATCTTCTGACACTACGAACCAAAGAAACATAAACGAATGGAAAAGAAAAACACAAATACAAATCCCAAATGAAATCAAGAAGCCCGCTCTACCGACTGGAACACAGGAATGATTTTAATGGAAAAAGGAAACAAAATTTAAAACACTGGAATTATGATTTCGTTATTAAAATGCGTTTTGCTTATTTTGTGATGGTTCTATGAGATAAATTAAAATGTTAAAAAATGCCAGCGTTTAGCATCTGTGAATTTGTCTGAAGTCGGCTCCAGGGAAGAAGTCACGCCCCACCTTCTCAGGGAGTTGCTAAAGGAATTGTCATTAATAATTGACTTATGCAAGTGTGTTTCACTCCAACACAGTTCTCAAGTGGTCAGACATATGTCCATCAACAAGAATCTCCTGACAGAGCCCTGACAGCTCAATAGGATCACTCAGCATGAACCTTCCTCCCATGGGAAAGTAGATGCTTTCAACGTTACCATAAAAAAGCAACAGTGTAAATCCAAGGTCCCTGCATGAATTATCCCATTTCAGCCTCATCAATATCCAAATTCAATTTGCCTTGCACCTGATCGTTATAGACTGTTAATTTTGAACAGCAGTATCATAATATCATCTTTGTCTATGGTATCCAGCTGTGGCTAAATGTCTTTGTAAGTTGGTCACAAAAGCATGTGTTGGTGGTCTGGAGTTTAACCAATTTAGCTCTTTACAAGGTCTCTCTTCTCAGCAACGAACAAATGCAAGTAATTGGGATTTTGACTCTATGTGATTTTAAAAAAGTACTCAGTGCCACAGGTCTTATGCATAATATTACAATTTTAATAGAAAATTGAATAAAATTTGTACAAAGACCAGTAAGAAAGAAAAATGCTGAGAAGGAAATGGATTAGGGTAGAAAAAAATATTCCACAAATAATAATGTTCCTTGAAAAATATTCTGTTAGCCTGACTCCATATTTACAATTTAATGATAATATTCCTCATTATCTCTATTGTTATCTCTGTATCTTGAAAGGTCTAGTAGTTTGTTTCTTAGAATAACTTTAAGCAATTTCCCTATCCCTATAATATTAATAGGATTTCCCACCAAATCATATAGTAGCAGTCCTGTAAGCTTTTACTGGTGCAAAAGAACTTACTGTTCTTCATTGATTCTTTTTATTTATTTATTTATTTATTATTTTTAAAGACTGAGATGAGGATTTTGTTGTGTTGCCCAGGCTGTTCTTGAACTCCTGGGCTCAAGTAATCCTCCCATCTCAGCTGGGATTACCACCAGATTACCACCACACACCAGAAAGCCTGGCCCATTGATTCTAAACTGTTCACTTTTTCACATTCTAACCTGTCTGAAATAATTAATGTGATAAAAAAGCATTTTATCTTAGCTCAACTGGCAGTTTTCCCCCCCCTTTCTTAGTCATATACAAAATAATGGTGCATTTTTCAGTCGAGGGTGTCTTTAAACCAGTCAAAGGCAGCTGTATGGGAGCTCTTCCTTATTCTAGTGTGACAACACACAAAAGTCCTGTTTTTAGGTGTAGCATCAGATTTGCTATTGTGTAACCACAGCTGCCATGGGAAATTTCACATCCAAAGTCATTTAGGGGCAATTTTCTTATATGAATTGCTGTGTGGAAGGTTTAGACTTGCTCTTAAAACTTTAGTTTTTGAATTACTTTAAATTTGTCCCAATTTTGGCTCAAGTACCATAGGAAACGTCAAAAAAAGTATGTGGTGGGAGGGAAATGTTGAGCTATCAACTTCAGAGAATTTGCTGCTGAAATTCTCTACCTCCCTCACACCATTTGACTACATTAAGTTGACATTCCAAATCAGTCATGATTAGGTCCTTTGGTGCTGGACAGCCAAAGCGCATCCTCTCCGGAGAGAAAGCTCAGTGCACAGGAAGCCTCGGGGCAGTCAGTCTCCACAGTATATTTACTTCAGAAAAAAGTGGCTGTCAGGTGACCCACAGCAGGTGAAAAGACAGAGCAGGAGGGTGAGGAATTCAACAGGAAGATGAACACCAAATAAACGTAACGAAACCAAACAAAATCAGTATGCTCCTCAATAATGAAGCAACGTGACTATCCTTTTACATGGCTATTTTTTTTTAAAAAAATCCACTCTGGTTCATCTTGAAAGAACCCATACTAGATGTGTTAAGAATCAAAGTTTCTGGCCAGGATTTGAGATTTCTGCAGCAGAGAGTATAGAAACACATTGTACAAAACATGTACAAAGTTCAGTTCTTTGTGTGTGCTATTTTCTCTATGAACCACAGTGCATTGAAAGAACATGTTACAGGTTTATCTGAGGTCACTTGAGAGTCAGCTTTCTGAGTGACAGTTTACTCTTACTTTCTTCTCTGACCAACAAGGCAAATCACATGAAGTAGGTGAAACAACTAATCTTGAAAAAGAGTGGCAGTGTGGGGAATGGCCTGTAGCAATCAAGGATTATTAAAGAGATAGAGTTAAAAAAAAAAGTTACAGAACAGTACAAACAAACAAACAAACAAAAAAGGGAAATGAGTTACCAGGCATTGGAAGGTAGGAAGCCCCAAATTGCCCCAATTGATGTTGCAGACAGAAACAAACCTGGCTACATAAATAATGTCAAATATCTGTCTGTTACTAACTCACATGAAACTAGGTAACTGGCTATATTTTCACCAAACTTGAAAGGTTCTTTTGGGAGGATCTGATTAAAGATATAAAGCATGTGATATAGTTGAAATTCTCTTTGGGGGCCTTAAGAGGCACACTTTAACTTATATTTCTGTGAAAACAGGCAGTTCTTTCTCTGGAAGAGCTTCAGGCTTTGACCAACCTACTTCTCACAGGTTGTGCAGTGAGAAGGCAACTGTGCAGTCTGTTCTTCCAAGAGTAGCAGAAGGAATTTATTTAGCTTTAGCTAATGATTCTCCCAAGCAATGTGGGATGGGCCAGGTGGTTTACACTATGGAAGAGCCGGAGGGGAGTTCTGATAATAAAGGAAGACAATGGGGAGTGGGGATTCCATGGGAAAAATGGAACGGGAAAGCCCTAGGTGGGAGACATGATGCAAAAATGAGAGAGGCAGCAGGAACCTGTCTCCTGCTGGGAGGTGGAAAAGAGAGAGACCAGCTTTGGAAAGGGGGATGGTGCTCCAGGCAAAATAAAGCACTGATACCTTGGAAAACCATCTGGCTGAACAGCCATTCTCAACACTTTCATCACAGCATAAGGAAAGAGGCACAAAAGCATTTACTGAAAATGCCACCAACTACTTATTTCTCTAGGAAAATCGACCACACATCACCGAAAGCACTAGAAAAGAATGTCGAAAAGTTTGCTCAAGTCTCACAATGCCAGTGTTTATACCATTTGTCAACATAAGGACAACCAAAAATGATGAAGAAATGAGAGCTTCAAGAAAATACAAGTTCTAAATTTTGTGATTTCTGATGTGGCACATGGTTGGAATTTAAATAACATTTCCCCTCAAAGGAGACTTTTTGTTTTAAGAAATGATATCTAAATTACAAGACCTTCCTTGGCAATTTCTTCTTTACTTTTTTGAATAGCTCTGTAAAGAACACCATAAGAAAATTCCTGCAAAATACAGGTGTTAATGTTCTTGTATTTGTTTATTTGCGTAGGTAAAACACTTTGCCTCCTTTGCTGAGAAGGTGGTTTTAAAAGAAGACAGGTGATAGTAGCAAAACATACAGCAAAACAATTTCAACCAGAAACACAGGGCCTTGGGGATTTCAGATCATAAAAAATAGCCAGTCAAAACTACAAACAGATTAAAAGAGAGGAGAGAATTTTTACCAACTGTGGGAGTAGTGGCTGCGCTCAAGGAATTGGTTGACGATATTGAAGAAGTGCTTTCAGCTCGCGCTAAGGGTGCTATTGGAGGAGGGCTGGAAGAATGAATGGGAGGGCTAAAAGGTCTGGACTGTAGGGAGAAGAAAAGAGATGAGAAGTTAGATACACAGGTTGCAGTATTTTTGCTTTATATTTTTAATGTCTCCCAGCCCCAGATATGACAACTTACGTTTTTAAAAAGTAGATGACACCATTTTACACTGAAATTAATTATATCTATACGAGAGTTTGTGGAGTGGAGAGTTTATGGAGTTTTCTGGAGAAACTGTAAACCATAACATGCTAAACTATAAACTATAACATGCTAAACCTGAGCTTAGGGAAGCTGGCGTCTGTGACATGATCAGCAGGTCTGTTTCAGGACTGAACTCACATGCCCTCAGGGACTCAGCAAGTGACACAGGGTGAGAGCTCATACTCATCTAAAGCTAACAAAATACAAAAATACTGCACTGTGCTAGTCCAGCCAAATATTATGGATGTCATCAGTTTGTGGCTCCTGTGTGCAAATGCCAAAGAAATCTACCTCTGCCACAAGTCTCTCCTAATTGTTCACACAGAATGTTTTCCACTCCTCAACCTTAAACACAGAATATTTTCCACTCCTCAGCCTTAAACACAGAATATTTTCCACTCCTCAGCCTTAAAACGCAATGCAAGAAACTTTCGCAACAAATTCCTCATGCCACTGCTCCTTCGCTGTCTATTCACATAGTGTGCATACTATCAGTAAGTCATCTGTATTCTGGGATCAGAAGCCAGGATTCGCTCTCTCCTGGAGTTTTCTAACAGCAGACAAATATTGTGAAACACCTGTCTTTCTAAAGGGTTTAGTGCAATTGAATGTGATTATCGGCATTTGCATCTAACCCACTATAGCAGAGGTGAGGGCCCAAGCATCTTATTCCTATCATTTTAGATCTTGGCTTGAAGATGGTAGAAATTTGAGGAGGGTTGAAATGTACACTCATACCACAGTGACTATCTTTCAGATGCCACCTGTTGGGGTTGTTTGTATAAGTCCTCTAAACGCTTAGACCTGAAGGCATTTGGAGCTTCTGTTTGTCATTTTCACCGTTTCTGAGCAAGCCAGGGCAGAGGGGAACATACCACATCTCCAACTCCAGGCTTTCCTGGAGGTAGCTTTGGTCGGGATGGAGGCCGGGGAGGGGGTGGAGGTGGAGTGGTACTGCTGCAAGGAACCAAAGGAGTGGCTGGTCGAGCAGGGGATGATGCACCTGAAAAACAAGCTAGTATTAAAAACGGCTGGAAACACAGTGGGCCAAAGCGCTGTTATCACAGTACAATGCCAGTCCCAGACACTTAAATTTTTTTTTTTTTTTTTTGCCTTGGCAGTTACTACACTAAACACTGTAGCACTTTTTTTTTCTCTTTTTTTTCTTAATAAAGAAAAAAAATTTACTCCGTTCATCTATGGTTGATGGCAGAAGCTCATTGCCTTTTGTTGCCATGTGACACCCAGTGAAAGGTAAATCCTTTTATGCTCTATGACAAAAGGTAAAGTCTTAAGACTCTTGGCTGCGTGGTAGGTACCCTTCATTATCATCGCATACACACTAAACACGTAACAAATCCTCTTGCATTTTGCATGTATTTGGAATTTGTTTATGTCCGAGATGATAATGGGAGATTAGAACATGAAGGAAGATGAATGATTTTTCCACTTTAGGTTTTTCTTCTTTAAACGTGATAAGAGAATTATGCTTTTGATTGTGGTCAAATTGTGAGAGCCAACTTTATCAATGTACCCAAACACTGGAGGGTAAGCAAAAGACAAAATATAAGAAGATAAGTTAGATGTTGCATGAATACTTTGTATTTAGAATCTTAATAGAAATGCATTGAATTTAGAGGATCTTATTTTGTGAAGGAGGCTGCTTAGGAATCTGTCAAGGCAGAGTTTGCCCATGATGATTTTTTGGAAGAGCCTCTTGGATTTACTTTTCTGGCTGTCAATGACAAGCATATGAAACACAGAAGACACACAGAGGCTGGCATGCACATCAGTCAGCACACCAGTGGGGTCTCTGGATTCAGGAATCTGCCTAACTTCGGTCGTATGTCTGAGATATACAGGGAAACTTGACTGAAAACCTTAAAAAAAAAAAGTCAAATCAATGTTCAAACAGTTCTTGCTTAGCAAAGTTCCGACTACTCCTGAGGTTTTTGTCACTTCTGTTAGAAGCAGAGGTATCAAATCATCCCAAGAAAATTCTCAGAAATCCTGCCCTGGGGAAATATCTACACATCGTCCCCCACACCTGCCGCCCCTTTGCTGCCTCCCAAACAACACACCACAAAACTGGGACCTCTGGAGAGTTTTAGATTAGCATCTCAGTCTCCAAATTTTCAGATTCTCAAGAGCTTTAAAGTCGAGCAGCAAAACCTATCATTTCAGAAATCTTCCCTGTTTAGGAGAGTCCCTGGGGGATTAAGCCTTGCTCCTCTTGTTTAAATAATCTGAAATCCTGAGTGTATTTCTCTGTGCTGTTTATTCTGTGTGTAATCACATTAGTGTGAAATCCTACCAATTATTTCTCCCACTCTCTCTGTATCTCCCCCTTCCTCTACTACTACCACCCATATTCTTACTTTTTATTCTCCATTGGGTCAGGGTCTATGCTAAGCACTTTATATATATTATCTTATCCCCTTGATAAATGTTGGAGGTAGGTATTATTAGGTATTTATGCGGAATCTGGAGATCAGAGATTCAGTAACTTGTCCAAGGGCAGATAGCTTAAACTGCGTATGTACCTCCAAAGCCCATGCTCTTAAATGCAATCTCTTATAGTTTGAGATGGACTGTGGTGTAGACTCCCACATTTTGCATAAAGTCTGTTCTTACTTTTGCTTGGCTTGCACATTTCCCTTTCAATATAGATGTTTTTAGTCTTTTGCTAATCTTCTCTTAAAAATAAATGGTATGTTTTCACAGGCCCCACTACAAAGTTTTCTTTTGATTATTGTGTTAGTAGATTTACACCCAGGATGTTTTCAGAAGACAGAAGTAACAGCATAGCGTAAATAAATTTTTAAACAGTGAAGTCTTAGGATTTTTTTTTTTTTGATGATGATGGAGGAGGAGTTGTTGTATTTAGCTTGATGAAAACAATACTATAGGAATGGTCCAGGACGTCTATCTGTAGGTCTGTTTCCAAGAAATAGTCTTTTGAATCAATCTCAAAAAAATGCCAGCTGTTTATTCTTTTCCTACATGTTCCAGAAAAAAAAATTAAAACTCCTTTCAGTGATGCCTGGGAAAGTACTAAGGAACCATCATCAGGGCAGTGTGGAATACTGAAAAACACTGGATGGAGAACCAGGTGATTTGAGTTCTGGCCTTGCTGGCCTGAAACCTCAGCTTCCTTGTTTTAAAAAGTGAGACACTGCTTCTACCTTGCAAGGTATTTGTAACAAATAAAATTGAAAATGCATATGAAAATGTTGACTATATAAAATTTTACACAAATAGAAAGTAATAGATACTGGCGATGATGATTAAGATTGTGTTTTTTTGATACAAATACAACTAAAAAGTTAAAAAATTTAGTTGTTAATTGAAAATTGTTTTCCTTTATGGATGCCCCATTGAAACCACTTTTTCTGTACTGAATTGAAGTAATTGATTTGTTGTGCAGCTAGAAAGACACTAAGAAAGAGTGTCTAAGAAGCAAAAGAGTATTTCAGTTAAAACCCTGTTTGGCCAAACCCTGAGGTTCAGCAGAGGATGTTCAGGGTCTGAGGAGTATTTCACAACTGAACTAAGGCTTCACATACTTTTGTGAAATTACGCAATCATTTCATATGTTAAGAATGTAGATGGCTATCCTTGTGCATCTTTATCCTCACTCTTCAATTTTCAATTGCATTTTCATTTCCCCCTTAAAGAGTGTTTATTTCCAGAACAATGCTGGAAAATGATTTGGACAGCCCCACTCTTTAAGGTTTAAAATAAAAAACTAAAATACATTGAGTTTTGTAAGTTAAAAATGTTGGCAACCATTGACATGCTCTCAATCCATTTGTTGTTCTCAACCTGGTTTAATCAATTTCCTTGGCAACCTCCAAAGACCGCATATCTACAGCTGCAACTTTCATCTCCTTTTTTAAATGTGTGTGTTGGGCTGGAGCAGTGGAAGCAGCTGGGAGAAGTGGTCAAAGCGCAGCCCATGGAATCCAACAGATCCGGGGGCCAGATCCTGGCTCTGCAACTTACTAGCTTTATGACCACAGCTAAGCTACCTTTTTGAGCTTGTTTCCTTATCCACAAAATGAGGTTAATAGACCATGCTGTTGCTGGGAGAATCAAGTGAATTAAAACATACGCACTTTGAGATATGTGAAGAACTAAACAACCTTTCCCACATTGTGTTTCTTAGAACATAATTATACCATTTCTTTGAAAAAAACTATTAAATATGTATGTAAATGATTATATGCTATGTTTCTCTTTTTGATGACTAACATATTAAAAGCCCTGAAACATTACTAATAGAACTTTCTGCCATGTGAAAACGTTCTAGAACTGTTAGTAGATTTGCTAGCCACATATAGCCACTGAGCACTTGAATTGTGGCTACAGTATGTAAAGAATGAAGTTTTTATAGTAATGTTGAGCAACTAAGAGTATAATTAAAATAACCCCACGTGGCTAGGGACTACTGTATTGGACATCACTGCTCTGAAAGACTTGTAGTTAGGAAATATATTTGGTTAATTTAACCCCAGGTAGCTCAGACTCATTTGTATATTGACTTGTAATGTTTGCATATAACATCTTTAGTTTCCCAAGTTGGAAAATGCTGCACTGAACATTCTTTACTTACTCCTTTCTTTCCCTGGCCCCCAAACACGGTGCAAGCCAACAAAACTCTTTCCCCCTCAACCTCTGGCACGCAACCCACGTGGGAGAAGAGATACCCTTTGCCAAGAACCAGTGTCTGCATTCTAGTTAAGTACTGTTCTGGCCAAAATAGGTATTTATAACTTTTTGCCATAAGGAAATTGAAGTTCTGGGAGCAAATTCTTAACTTCCACCTGCTTTTCAACAGCAGGTAACTCTTCTGGTTCACAAGGTTGTCAGTACTGTCTATGCTTGGTCAGTGACAGTCACCATGCTGTGAATACAATTTTAAAAATGAGTGCATAGTGGTATATAATTAAATATGCTTTGAGAAGTGCAAGAAAGTTAGTTTCATCAGGCCTAATGCTATAAAAAGCAAGTAGTGTGAACCATTGCTAATCTTTGAAACATGAGGCCATAACCTATTGTATCAATCTCAAATTTATATTTCTGCCAGCTTGTGTATGTTCTATCAACGAAAGATTAAGCAGCAAATAAACTGGGACTTAATTAAGGAGATAATGCTGCTGAGCTTTAGTTATTCATGGGCTTCAGTGACCCAGTTCAATCTTCTACTTAGAAATCCAATCTTTTAATACTAGTAAAGTCAAGCTATTTCCAGCTCAATTATTAAGAATCAAGTCTTTACTGGTAACATTTTAAAATAATTTCAAATAAGGATATGGAAGCTAAACATTAAAAATCACCACAAAACTCTCAAATTTTCCAGAAGGAAAACAAAAGTTCCTTTCTTCCTAATTAGATCAGTGATAAATTCAATTGAACAAGTATCTTTGAGAGCTTTATGAAAGGTGTTAGATGAAACACAGATGAATTACCAAAGCCACCTGTCCTCCCTACGCCTGGCTAAAGGTGTTTCTTTTGAGGAGAGCATTGTGGCCTACCTGTGGAGGGAGGTGGGTATTCTTTAAATGTCCTTTCAGAAGACTGAGGGCCTGGATTAGGAGAGCTGCATAGAAAACAGAAGTACACAGCCCTCTTTTACAATGGACCACTAATGTCTTTCTGGGTGTGTGGTTGGAGGCTTTACATAGTGATTCTTTATTATCTTTACAGATTGATAAGGAGCTTTGTATCCCATAAAAGACCAAAAAAAATAATAGAGGGATGAAGATGGATGCTGTAACCCTCTAGAATTAGGGAGAGGAACACAGAGGAGTACATTTTGAGGAAGACTTTTGGTGATCTTGTTGATGACACTGGGCAGTGCAGACAGGTCTCAGCAGTCAAATAAGTTTGGAATGTTTATGACTAAATCTTACAAAAGTGCCTGGAGAGCACACCAGTTAACAGCATAGGCTCCGGATCAGACAGAGCTGAGTATGAATCCAGTCCATTGCCTCCAGCTTGTAAATTTGGGCAAATTATTTGATATCTCTGAGCCTCAGTTTTCCCATCTGTAAAATGGGAAAAATAACAGTATCAACCACATGCTGTTGTTGTATGAAATAATGTACAAAAAGCATTTAGGCCAAAAAGCAGATAGGGCTGGGCGCAGTGGCTCACGCCTGTAATCCCAGCATTTTGGGAGTATGAGGCAGGTGGATCACTTGAAGCTAGGAGTTTGAGACCAGCCTGGCCAATATGGTGAAACCCTGTCTCTACTGAAAATACAAAAAAATTAGCCAGGTGTGGTGGCACGCACTTGTAATTCCAGCTGCTAGGGAGGATAAGGCAGGAGAATCACTTGAACCCAGAAGACTGTAGCCCAGAGGTTACAGTAAGCCAGCATGGCACCACTGCATTCCAGCCTGGGTATCAGAGCAACTCTCTGTCTAACAACAAAGCAAAACAAAGCAAACAAACAGCATGGTGCCCAGGAGAAGAAACTATAGTTTCTATTATTTGCAAAGTAAAGACTCCCAAAGGTCTTATGGTAAAAATACTTGCTGATTTTGAATAGTTTTCCTTTTGGGGGGATGAGGACCTGGTGGGATACGCACCTAATGATAAAAAACATTGGTTTTGTGTGCAGTACAGGTGAACACCTAGCCCTCTTCTTGACCACCATGGATGCTCTCACTTTAAGCACAGAAGGATTTGTAAGCACAGAGCAAATTCTGAAAGACCTCATTGAAAGAGACAGTGATGATGACCAAATAGTAGAATTTCTGTCTCTTACTAGATTTAAACACCTTGTACTTTACTGCCTCTTTCACATCAAATGCAAAACAAATGCATGGCACCCCCCGAAGGTCCCTAAACCGAACTCACATGCACAGGAAGGAAAGCACTCGGGGATGTTGTCAGACAAATTTGGGCAACAGTGGAATAAATGATATAGGGGAAGATGCATTTGAAAATCTTGATATTGCTTTGGTGTGCATGGCAGGTGATCCATGCTTTCATTATTAAAAAACACAAAATGAAGCTTCAAATAAGGAAAAACAATAAAATTCAATGTCAGAGTCGGCAGACTCCATCACCTGTCACCACACTTAGAGTTGACCTCATAGCCTGATGAGTGTGTCAAATAGTGAGAACAGAAAACAAGTCTGTCTTCAGTGATAGCTTGATTAGATTAGTGTTGCAGTATGTGTATCCTTTTTTTTTTCTTTTTTCGTTTCCTAAAATGTCCTTTTTAAGCCTTACATCTTTTCTTCTAAAGAAATCAGAGGGGTTAACACAGTTCTTCCACAACCAAAAAAAAAAAGAAAAAAATAAAAGAAGCCCATTCACCCTCTCCTGCCTGCCTACATATACACACAACACACTGAACCACAAAACCTAGTGTCCTTGTGGAGGCATCCAACAAGGAAATCAGACATTTAACATGAAATCCACTCTCTGTGAAATCTGTCTTCCTAGGACTTTCCTGAATTCCAAACAATGGCATGACAGCTTTGTTTTAGAAATCGAGACCTCCTAAATGCGGGGTGGACAGCAGGGCACACCTAAGGGCTGGGAGTGCAAGGCAGAACACATCCACAGACTTGGACCATGACTGCGAGCATCTGATGAACTAGGACATGCTGTGGGGCCACAGGGCACCCAGACCAGAGGCGTGAGGGCTGAAGCTCTGAAGCCAGCTGCCAGGCAGGAGGAGGGTGTTGCCCACACTGCAGCAGCCATGGCCATTCCCCGTCACACGAAGCACACTTAAGCGTAAGACATACCACTGGTGGTCCCTGTACCAGGGCCTGAGCCAGGTCCGGGGGACGAAACCACAGTCCTGTAGGTGGGTGGCGGTGGGGGAGGTGGAGTTGCTCTCTGTCCCAACCCAAAATCTTTAGGAGATGAGATTGTTTCTAAGTAATCATCTTTGATGAAGGTCTGTTCAGCGACTTTCTTCTGGACTTCTTCTAAATTGAGCGGCGATGGTACATGGCGAGGAGGCCCCGGAGGCCCTGGGGGGCCCGTGGGACCTGAGTGGCCAGGAGGGCCTGGAGCTGGGGATTCAGCTGGGTTGTCTGGTGTAGCTGGTGGGGACACCATTTTTTCCTTTGGAGTCAACTCCGGAGTCACATGGTCCGGGGATGTATCAGAAAAATGGACCCACTTTTCTTCAGCATTAACAGCAACAGACTTGGGGGACAAAACTGGGCCAAAAATGCTGTCCAAGTCATTGATGGATGGTAGCTTTTCAATTTTGACCTCTGTGGCTGACTGGTCATTTCCTGTGGTTAAAGTAGTTGATTTTAAACTTTAATTGACTTATTATTTGTGTGGGGAGTGAGGGAGGGAGGCAAAGATTGGAAGATACATTGCTGTGTGAGGTGCCTCAGTGGGCATACTTGATGATGTAAAAATATCTCTATTGGATTAGGAGCTGAAGGTAGGGGGAGAGATCTCCCACTCCATAAAGTGAGCATCATATTTTTATGCTATTATTTACTCTTTTTTGCAAGCTGAGCACAGCTAGCTACTTTTACCATGATTTAAAGTGCTGTGCATGATACTGCTCTCAAAGGCTGCCCACAGGTGAACACAGTGTGAACATTTTGACAAGGCAGTGTTAGATTCACAGAGAAGTACAGGCTCTGGGACTTCTCCAAAAAGCAAGGTCCAAAAGCAAGGTCCCTTCTAAAAATCTGGCCTACTGAAATACACATCACACAATATAAAAAGAATTGAGAAGTGAAAGACGCCCTCATATTTTATAAAGATTATCTACTCTAGTATACCAAATCAAGACTTTGGTGAAACTGATTATAACATTCATTAATTTAAAAAAATCACATCATATTTAGCTGTATATCCTTAACCTTAAAAACACCAGAAACACTGTACAAAGATTAAGAAGTTATCACCACAAAGATACAAATACAGAAATACACACCCCATACACAACACACACACACAGATTATTGAGGAGGCATTTGCTACTTATTAGAACTGTTACATATCTACCGGCTTAATAGGGAAGAAAATAATTTTAAAAATGTTTATAATTTCTTTTCTCATTAAGTCTAACCTGTAAACATCATAGGCATAACTGATATTTAGTTATAGGATATCATGATACCGAAAAGTCTCTGTTTTGCTAAAACATCAGCATAAGCTATTCTTTTTAATTCATAGCAATAAGAGAAAAAATAGAAAACTATCTTCTACAGCTCTGTATGAAGAAATGCACTTTTTAAAAACTGAGATTATTCACATTAGAAATTGTTACCTAAATAACTGAAAAGCAAGAGCAGAAGTCACTTTACCTTTATATAACTCTTGAACTAGATGAACTATCTTAGTATTTCTATATTTCTGACTTAAAAGGAATTAACTTTCAAGGTTCCAAGGCTGCAGATAAATGGGGAAGCATTTTGCATGGTCTGCAATATTTATAATCTTGTGCTAGTAGGTGTATTTATATCTAACACAATTTGTGGAAATACAAGGGGCCAAAATGTCTTGAACCTGCAGACATCTTTACTTATGAAGCGCCGGATGACTCTCTATTGGGTTTGAGTCAATATAAATTTCATAAATGACTACATCTTGCTTTTGCTTTTGTTGATGAATGCCCACCGTGCAGCTATCAAACTCACCAGGCTGCATAAATAGCAAAGGATGAAGCTGCAGTAGAATTCCGAAAGTGATAAAAAGCCACGTTCTAAGGGCCCAGGCACATAAAACAGCTATTACTACTTTTGATTTGCTAGTCCAGTAAGACTTAGTAGGCTATAAATTGTATGAATACATAGTATTGATTTTAATAGATGATAAAGGTGTGCCTTAAGAATTATCTGTCCACAGGCATGTAGCAGTTCCTTGCCATATTTCATAATCTTTACATAGCTCTTTGCCATGGGGTAATAAATACTTGAACGACCACTGGAAAAAGAATTTCCCCACCACAAGTATGCTGCATACCCTGGGAACCATTTTATGTCTTCATAGACTAGATAGTTTCAGTCTTAGGAAATTGTCTTGAAAAAATATCAATTGTGCTTTAAGACTATGAATTTGTAAATCATTAAAATGAGATCCAAAGAAGTGAGGGGTTAATTAAACAATGACTTTTCATATTGAGATTTTTTTCCTTTCATTTTATAAAATGGCCCTCATTCAACAACATTATACCAAGGAAAAATTTAATTGAGAAATTATTACTAATTTTTTTGTGTGTGAAACCCGGCAGTGATGCTTTAAAACAAGTCTGCATAAGAAATTCTAATGGAAGCAAAACTAAATGGTGACACTGTAATGTTTTAGTGTAGCCTACAGTTTTCAGCACATCAAGGGCATGTTTGTCTGGGTCACTGATCTATTTGACACATCATCCCAGAACTGAAAAAACAAAAGCTTACCTGGTCCAATTGTTAAGGGGGATCCTGTTCGGGGTGGGGTAGCTGGTACATTTTTTGGAGGCAGTGGTGGAGGTGCTGCAAAGAGATGAGAAACCAAGTATCATTGATCATGTTCTTCCTAAGTTATACAATAGATTTAAATAAGCAGGATCTGGGCTTTCAGTTATATTCCTGCTATTGGAAATGGAATAGCAATTAGTGGTCTATATAGATTTTTAGTTCAAAGTCAAAGAACTGAAGCAGAACTCATTCAGATTCTTCCATTTTATGAAAATAAGAGATCATCAAAAGAATGTCGGACAATAATATCACCATTTTATTCACTTAAATATGATTCAACACACAAACCTCAAGCCACAACTAAGTCCTGCGTCCTGTACTAGGAACTAGGGTCATAGGGTTGAATAAAAATAGCTTCTGCCCTCGAGGGATTTTTCACTGACTGAACGAAATCATGTTAGCTGACAGTAACAGTCGAAGGTTTAATCATGGAAATAACAGATTGGGTGGGGGCTCCTGTGAAAGGTTTTTAATCCAGTCAAGATTGACTGCCTGGATTGAGTCCAGAAAGATTTCTCAAAATCATATTTCTTAAATTTTAGTACATTTTTAAAAGTTACAAGCAAAGTGACCCTCCTTGGGTCAAGGAGGAATGAACAGATTCCTTCGATAAAAATTACAGCCAAAACAAGTATCATGGCCCCTACCAAGAGATCCACCCTTCTGAGCTGGATTGTCACTTTGTGGGCAAAATTTGGAATTACTGTTTCAATGGGTTCATTTCTTCTTCCTCTTTCTTTAAGAGTATGTTTTCTTGTCACTGGCCCTATTTGGTAGATTCAAAGCATTCACATGAATGTCATAGGCCATCCCAAAGTTTAGTTGTGAATCTGAATGCTGTCCAATCTCTCATAACCTAAATGTAGAGGGCGGCAGGTGGGCACATGGCTGGAGAGTGCCTGCTGCTACCTTCCACCTGCCTAAATTGGGAAGAAGCTTATTCTGTCATTCCTCCCTCCTCCTCCCCTTCCCATACTTTATTTATTATTTTTAGGCAGCATCCTGTTTTTCCACACAGTAAGTATGACTAACAACCGTCATCCTAAAGCCTAGGAATATGTGGTTCTTAATCTCAGTGATGAGCTTCTGAAAACTACAGCTCTAGTGGATCATATTTTCCCACAGAAGTTAAGAGTCAATCAGGGGTTCTGCTCCTAATTAAGGATCTCTGCCAAAAATCAAGGTTATAATCAACAAAATACCATAAAAACAAATAAAATGCTATAAAAGCCTAATAATCTAAAATAGAAAACCTATGCTGCAACTACAAAATGAGCAGAATGATACAATGCACATCAACCAAACAACAGCCTCTGCTGTGATAAGTGTAACCACCACACATAAGACTCACAACTCTGAAATACCAACAGTTAAAACGAATACATCACCTCCATAAACAACTCATTTACTCTCTTGACATTTAGGAAAGGGTTTACCAGGGATCGATCACTTGGATAGCTCAGGTCTGTAATGAAAGGTTTTCAAGGAAGTTACAGCTTTTTCACTGGTTTTATTTTGCAGGGAAAGACATTCAAAATCATGCCACAAAAGCATGGTTTAAATATTTTAAAAATACATTTTTTTAAAGTTAGAAGTTTAAAAAAAATTGTTGATAATGATGTTTTTCCTATCCTGTTTAATGAAGGAAATATCTTCGGAAAGGCTAGATCACATGGCTTTATAGCAATATTACTTCCAACAAATAACCTCTTGGATTTTGATTATGAATCCCCTTGGTTAATTCTCATGATCATGTTTAGGCACCAAGAAGCAAAACTCTGGAGATGCTGAACTGGAAAAAGTATTAGTTGGTCTGTATGTGAGCCCAAAGGATGAAAATACCCTCTGCATCCCCCTCCTTGCCAAAACACCTTTTTTTGAAATCCAGTTCTTCAAAGAGTGCCTTCCACAGGCATGCTTCAGAGGCAGTCTACTGAAAAGGGAATTCAATAAATCTGTAAGAAGGGTGGCTTCACCTGATGAACAGTCCATCCAGTCTAAGTAGCGAATCCACCACCCGTGAAGGGCTATCTAGATTTTCAGGATCTCCTTCCCCAGCCGCCTGGGCCATGCCAAAGAAGCCAGGCTAATGGCAACTTTCACATAAATTTACCCTGATCTAGTGTCTCACTTTCTCTCTACCATGTAGCCTCATTTCTCTTGTTCCCTAATTGTCACTCTATCCTATCAATGTGTCCTTTCTGTCCTGTGCAGCCTCAGTTGTTCTGTAGGATGAGCTGAGACCATATCAGACTTGTTCACCTCTGTGATGTGTGATAGCCTAATGCCTGGAACACAGTAGGTTATTTAGCGCACTTGCTTCTTATTCTTACATATATACAATGAATAAATATATACATTAATAAATTCACTTATTCATTGTATATATGTACCATATAAATATGTAATATATATTTATTCATTGTATATATGTAAGAATAAGAAGCAAGTGGGCTAAATAACCTACTACGTTCATATATACAATGAATAAATGAATGAATAAGCACGTGGGATTTCAGATATATACATATTTTTACATATATACAATGAATGAATGAATAAACACTTGGGATTTCAGAAAAGGCTATGATTCAAGGTTAATAATTTGCTTTATTGTGTTATTTTCTTCCTGTCTTCATAACCTGCCCTGAGCTCTTTAACTTGAAAGCCTGTGAGAATAACATCTCTTCTTAATATTACTCAGTTCTAATGTTGCTTATGTAGACTTTCTAAGAGTTGTCTAATTTCACTATGCAGACAGACAGTAAAATGAGTCACTTATTTTTCCAGACAGAGCAGATACATAACTTACTTCCAGTGGGAAAAGGCCTTGTTAACTTTGGCGACTCCATGCTTGGATTAATTGGTTGGCCTGAACCCCATATCTCAGGTTGATCTAAAAGAACTGGAAACAAAAAAGAAAATGTCCCAGGGTGAGTTAAAAAAAATCCCCATACTTCAGAACTTAACATTTCAAGTTGAGCTTTACAAAATAATTTTCCTCTTGTCTCAGTACTAAAAAATTAATTTAGGAATGTGCCTCTCCTTATTCTTTTCAAGCAGAGAATAGAAAGAGGAGTGTGGTGTGAGTGTGGGTGGGAGGAGTGTCTGTGTGTGTACATATAGCTATATAAAAACTTTCAGAGCAGAATCTGCATTTTCTTTTGGGTGGTCACTTAAGGACATTCTGAGTATCAGCAGACGTGCTGGCTCTGTCTCAGGTGCCCATCTGAAAATCCAAACATTAACCCCCTGGACACTTGTTTTGTTGTAAGTTGGTTTATTTAAAGTCTCCTATGAATATGCTTCAAAACTGAAAATGTCTGGGTTCTGTGCAGTGGTTCCTATCTTTGAAGGATTCTACAGGGTCTTTAAATAAACCTTTTACAGCATCATAAAAAGGAATTATATTATTTTAAAAATGCTTGGTGAATATGTTAAGAGAGCCAGAAAAATAAGTATTTAGATACCTAACATAGGGCAATTAGGTTTTGGGTCTAAGGACACTAAATTTAATATTTCTTCTCCTTTTTTTCTTCCTGTTCTGATTTTTAAAATAGCTATGTCAATGTAAACAGTTAGTGCTTCTCAACACCTATCCTGTGGCAGGGACTATGCAAGTGCTGCTGTAATTCATTATGTCATCTAGGACAGACTGGGAAGTCAGTTGGATAGGGCTTGAATCTATCCTCTGCACTGACTGTAGGACTGCGGCAAGTTACTTAACCTCTCTGTGCTGCCTTCCTTCAGTGTAAAGTGGAGATAATAAAAGCGACCTTAGAGAGTTATAAGGAGGATTAATGGAGGAAAGATGTCTTAATATAGTGCATATAAAATGTATGTAAAACATGTATCAGAAGGCCAGTAGCTATTACTATTTATTTGAATACTCACAACCCCACCATGTGGTTGATACCAGTTCCACTTGTGCGAGAGGAAGCTGATGATTGGAGTGGCTGAATGAGGTGTCCAGGGTAAAAGCAGAAGAGCTAAGATCTGATGCAGGCATACCTAACTCTAAAATACACATTATTTTCCCTAGGCCATTTCAATTAGTGACAGAAAAACATTTTCTGGGCCAGGCAAGTGGCTCATAGCTATAATCCCAGCATTTTGGGAGGCTGAGGTGGGAGGATTGCTTGAGTCGAGGAGTTCAAGACCAGCTGAGCAACATGGTGAAACCCAATCTCTACAAAAAATACAAAAATTAGTCAGGTGTGGTGGCATGTGCCTGTGGTCCCAGCTACTTGCGGGGGCTGAAGCTGGAGGATCACTGTGGGAGGTCGAGGCTGCAGTGAGCTAAGGACTTGCCACTGCAATCCAGCCTGGGTGACAGAGTGAGATCCTGCCTCAAAAAAAAAAAGAGAAAGAAAAATGAAAAATCGATCTAAAGAAGAATGAGTAGGTACGAAAGGGAAGTGTGGGTATTGAAAGAGGTAGTGTGATTTGTACAAACGCAGGAACTTTACAGGACTTCAGGGGATGAAGTCATTTAAAGGGTAGTTGAGTCCACGAAAATGGACACGTCCAGGTATGTATCTCCTGTCTATCACAAACCTCAAAGATGGTCTTCGCTCTTTTTTAACATGAGAGCAGACATTCTCCAAAGATATGAAGCAGCATTTTCTTCACAAATTCAATGCGAAACACAGCTTTGCTTTTTAAGAATGATTTCTATTTTTTATGTAAAGTTTCCATATAGTTATGGGATTCCTTAAACAGGCAGATTTAGGTCCAACAAATCAAATCCCATCTCCAGTCACCATACACTTATGTCATTAAACGTGAGACTGAGCACAGATGAGTCAATAAGGAAACGATCGTCTCACTGCAAGGCCATCTTTACACAGGGATTCTAAGTTACGGACATTTAAATCACTAAGGGAGTATTTAGAAATGTTCTTTCTACATTTTCCTAACAAAAACATTGAAAATATTCAGGTGTGGCTGACTGCTGGCTATCTCCCAGAATGCATTCTCCAGTTCCTCTATAGTAACAGAATCGTAGCTGGCTACATGGCATCTGGCCATTCGGCTTTGCCAGGAAGAGACCCGTGTCTCTTCAGGTTTTGCTCTTAGAATAGTTAGCAGTGAGTTCCAGTGTCCTCACCCCACTTCCTTTCTTCTGAATGGGAGAAGACAGCTTCAGCAGTCTCCTTGGAGCCAGAGATAAAAGTAACATTTCGAAGACAGCAGAGCTACTCTACCAGTCCTATATTGTTTACTTCTAGACTGTTAACATGAAAGAGTTAGAAAATTCTATCTTGTTTAATTTACTGTACTTGGCGTCTCTTTGTTAATGTAGTCTACTCATTGTGCTTCTAATTCTTGTCATCTTTAACACTTAAGACCCTTCACCAATAGCTTCTAGAAAGATAACATGTTATTATATATTTACCAGGGTGCTCCTAAATCAAATAATTTTTTACAAACACATTTTATATTACCAAAAATAGCTACTGGAGTTGCATGCGTTAGCCATAAACACATTTCAGGAATAGATAAGATACATTTTAAAGAAAGTTGATTTTATATCAGTAAAGCACACAGTATTTACAGCCATCCAAAAACAGGGTTAATTTTAAAAAGTTAAATATTTAACTCTAGGAATAAATATTTAACAGATAAACTCAATAATAATGGCTGAAATAAAGATATTTCTTCACTATCATTGTATTTTTATTTTATTTTATTTTATTTTTATTTTTATTTTGAGGTAGGATCTTGCTTTGCTGCCCAGGCTGGAGTGCAATGGTGTGATTACAGCTCACTGCAGCCTTGACTTCCTGGGCTCAGGTGATCCTCCCACCTCAGCCTCATGAGGAACTAAGCCTACAGGTATGCACCAACATGCCCAGCTAGTTTTTAAGGTTTTTTTTTTTGTAGAAATTGGGGGTCTCCATATGTTGCCCAGGCTGGTCTCGAACTTCTGGGCTCAAGCAATCCTTCTATCTCAGCCTCCCAATGTGTAGGGATTGAAGGAGTGAGCCACTATGCCTGGCCTTATTTCTAAGTTTCTAAATGATTCAAGGTCATTCCTGGGTCTTGAGCCAGCAAACAATGACTGTTGTGAGAAATCCAACTGATGCCTTCATTATCAAGTGGGAAAGAGTAAATGTGGTCAGGGAGGCTAGACCCCAATGACAGTGACAATGACGGGTATATGAAGGTCTGTCTCCATTTGTGAACCTGTTGATACCTCAAATGGTGATGGTATGGCTCCCAGAACATTTACTCCATGACAGGACTATGTGTAGATATGCAGTAAGTTTTACTGATTTCTTTTGAAGAATGAGCTTGTTAGAAATATTAGATATTTCTTGAAGTAAAGTTTCAAATCCTAAAATAACAGAGATTTGAAAACTAAACTCCTGTGCTTTACGGCACACCTAGATTGGAACTTTTCCTTCGCATGAGGATAATATATTAAAAGTATACCTCAAAATACATACATTTAATTTAGAAAAGTTGTACTTTAATAAAAGAAAAAAAAACCAAATCTATAATACACATATTTTCTTTTCCTACCTTCCGTCTTCTGTTCATCAAAAGCTGATTCTAGTGGTGGGCCAAAGAGAGGAGCAAGGGCTATAGTGTCATCCGGAGGCTTTTTGCTAAATCATACACATTAAGGCAAAATAGAGGAAAAAGGCTCAAAAATTATTGCTCAAAAAGATATACAAGCTTTCCCATATTTTTCTCAGTAATACAAGTGTGTGTGTGTGCGAACTAGTGCATGCATGCTTGCCTGTGCATACAAGCTCCATTAGGCCTAGAAACTATTTTATAAGGATGTCAGATGTATTATGGGACAAAAGAACTGGTAGAAGGTGAGATCCTTAGTTCTCAATGGAGGGCTGAGGTGCTCATCCAATAGAAATAAGTTGAAGGAGAATAACTCTTTCAAAGCATCATGATTTTCTATACCTGGAAGAGATAATACTAGAGATGAGAGTTTATTGCGAAGCACCTTTCTCCCCAAGATCTCAAATACCATTTACATTTGATTTCGCCACATCTCTGTGTTGTGGTTAATGCAGTTTATAATTAGTGAAAGTCAGGCGTAAGGATATTAAATAAAAAGCTACCGAGAAGTTTTATCCTCCAATAGACTAGTTATAACCTCCTAATACCCCAATACAATAAATCTCAGAAGGAGAAATATTGAGAAATCAGGGGAACAGGAGGATAATAAGTTACACTGGCATCCCTTAATTATTACTCCAGACTGATTATTAAGAAAATGATGCATAATTATCTTCATTTCTTCTCCAAATCTGATTTCCCTTATTGATCCCAGTGAGGTCTATGTGTGTATGATAAGGGGTAAGGAGTGAAAAGGAGAGGAGAGAGGTTGGAGAAGGAGGATAAATATTGAAAATAATCCAATTTATAAATAGAAATAGCAGTCTTTCTATAAAACAATGCCCATTTGTACAATACTTACCCAACCCACAGAGTACACTGTAAAATACAATGCTTTGCCAAAAACTAAAAGCAGATGGAAAATTCCTTTGGTGTGTGGCAGGTGGAATGCATCATGAGATGGTAACCAACTAGACATGCTTCTTTTCATAGGGTAACAGAATGATATTGTAGATCAGCATTCTAGACACCAAAAGACCTCTTTAGAGAACTTTGGTGGCCCCATCAGGAAGGGGACTGCACATTCTGATAGGCAGTTACTTCAGATAAATGCAGAGTATTTCCCTAAAGGTCTCCCTTGGGCTGACTTATGAAAAATAATAACATATTTGGACCATGCTATGGACATTTGAACTGACATGTTTTAGTAGATCCTTTATTAATGGGAACTAAGAGTTTAGCCCAAAGGAGATTTGTCTAATTGTTTAAAGTTCATGATGGCTCGCATAAAACACAACTAATGTCTTTCACACTCACCTTATAAGTTCTGGAGTTGGTGTGGAACGTCTGGGTCTTGCCACTTCTTCACCTGATGCACAGGACAAAGGAACTATTTAGACATATTTTTTTACCATGCCCTGATATGTCTTATAACCTATGTTTGGAAACACTTAGAGATTTAAGTCTCATCAATAAGCAACTCAAATGAAAACTTTACAAAACAAAGCTTCTCCCCTGGCAATGCAACAACCATATATTAGGCATATGTAGTGGTGTTTTCTTTGGCATTTGTAAAACCTCATTAACTAAGGAACTTCCGGTGACAAGCCATCAAAGAGAAGATTTGTATACTGCAGTGCTTAGTTAAAGAGCATACCATTCCTGGAATGTCTGCTGCCTTGACTGGTTCTGCTTTCTAATTAAGAAAATACTAAGCCAGGCCATATGTGTAGTACATGAATCCAGCATTCTCTGCCTGTTCTTTTCTTGAAATGCCAAGAAAATGTATCTTGAAAACTATGAACCATGAATTTAGAATTTCCTAGTATGTGTTGTATGCAGCAGAGGAAAATTGAGCCCTATGTATATTATAACCTATATCACTTTGGTTGACTAACATTTTTATATCAAATAACAGAAGAATGGGTAAGTTGCTTCTACTTTCAGTTCCTTCTGCCCTCCTGTTCTTCCCACCCCCAGCAACAAATACATACTTGATTAAATCCATTTCTAAAGTTAAACAATATAGCAAGAGTTGACAAATATAGACAGAAAATAGCAATTACAAATATTTATTTTCAGAACTTAAATATTAATCACTCACAGGGGCCCTCTATCATTACAAGAATTCTTTGCTGTAAAAGTAAAAAATTAAAAATTAAGCCCAAGAATGTATAATTCATATGTATATATACTCCAAGATCCAAGGAACTATTCTTTCTTTCAAATCATACGCTATTTCTGGTAGCTAAGATATACTTACTGGATAAGTTCCTTTTAATTGCACCCTAGAATTAGAAATAGACACTATAAGGTTTAAGACCACATATATGTTATGTACAATATGTATTATTTCTCTCATTGCAATTAAACTGAACTCAAATAAATACAGATAGGGAAATGAAATTTTTCTCAGAACCGCATTTAAGTTGGAAATTGTAGATACACACATAGAAATCAGTTTTTTATTTCACCCAAAGATTATAGAGAGGAAGGAAGGGTAAATCATAAGTCTTCTGAACAAGAAAAACCCCTTACCTGGGTAGATTTGGTAAATCAACTTCAAATATTGAATAGTCCGTTAAAAAAAAACCTCTTGAACTCTAGCTGATAAGAATGTTTAGCATATGTTTGTTGAAGTTCAAAAATTACAGAATGTATTTAGGAGTAGTGCATGCTTCTTGTCAGTTGGGGTCCCCAGGTTGCTAATGGAAACAGTCATCCGTTTACAAATGTGATTTTAAAAGGTATAGGTGGCAAGAGTAAAAGGCAAGGGAAACTTGAACCATCTGCCACTGAGTGAACTGTTTTATTCAGAAAGCCAGGGAATTCCACCCTATGCACTCATTCTCCCAATGTCTTCCACTTGCCTGCCACCAGGCCCATCAGTCATGAATTGGGAGTAATGTCTTTAGCTCAAGGCATTGTGATATTACTGGAATACAAAGAGCCCTGGAAGGAATAATCTGAGCAGGTCACCTCCAGTTTTTTTAATGCCTTAGCTTAAACTTATTTAGATAGTAGAAGGATTGATTAGATAAAAAGTTTTGATTAAAAAACAGAAGTGGTGAAAAGTTCTTCGTGTGGAATGCTACCAGAAAAGTAGACCACTAGGATGGTTGCATCGTGGGGTAGAGCATGGCTTGGCCTGCTTGCTGTAGGAGAATGACCGAGGCAGAGTTGAGGACAGGGAAAGCTGAAGTACATATAAGAAAGTATTCCAAGGCTGGGCATGGTGGCTCACACCTGTAATCCCAGAACATTGGGAGGCTGAGGCAGGAGTATCATCTGAGGTCAGGAGTTCGAGACCAGGCTGGCTAACATGGTGAAACCCTGTTTCTACTAAAAATACAAAAAATTAGCCAAGTGTGGTGGCAGGTGCCTGTATTTTCAGCTACTTAGGAGGCTGAAGCAGGAGAATTGCTTGAACCCAGGAAGCAGAGGTTGCAGTGAGCTGAGATCGCACCACTGCACTCCTACTTGGGCAACAAGAGCGAAACTCGCTCTCAAAAAAAAAAAAAAAAGTATTCCGAAAGGTGAGACCATGAACACATTTGGTGGATGGTCACCAAACCCTTTTTTCCTACTTTTTAATTTTAGTGAATGCTCAATCTGGTGGTCACAGATATGTTTTCTTCTCTCAAAGTATAACATTAACAGCTTAGGACAAGATTTAGCACCTCTGTAATAGACCTATAAGAAGCTTCTTTCCCTTGTTCCTAAGGCTATATAAAGATTTTCTGTCCCATTTTGAACCCATTTATGCGAGGAGCAGTTCCAATCTGAATAAAGTTCCATTCAATGCTTTCTCAATCTCTCAAAAGTATATTTTCTGGCTTTTTTTTTTTTTTTTTTTGTCTAATAATGTGATCTCTTTCTCCCTACTAAGTGTGTCATATAGAGAATTACTACATTATTTCTACTTTCTAATAAATATGGCCACATATATCTGCTTAGGTTATTATGGAAGTTTGGATACAGGTTTGCTTTTAGAAAAGAAGGCTCTACAGACAGACATGATTAGATAACAGAAATAATTAGATAACAAATGCTTTTCTGGGTTATGAACCCTCAGATAGAATTTCATTAATAAGATCTGAAGGAAGAGATAGAGGGGATTTAGTTCCAAGCAGTCAATCACAAGATTGATAAATGGCATTGAGGGAACACAGCCTACCTAGTACTGTGAGGCCTGAAACCCTGGAGGTCCCAGAGGCTATATTGAAGACCCTTCTGTCTCTCAGCCCTACTCTTTTAAGTGTTAATATCCATAAAACCAAGAAAGGTACAGAGCTCCTTTTACAGCCATCAAGTCCCAGATTTGTCAATTCATTCAATAGGTATTCACAGTGGAAAGGCACTAAAGAAGAAGGCCCTGTAACATTTTTATTAAAAAGTCTTCATGAATGAACAATACCAGGTTAAGTGCAAGCAAGACGTGGCAGAAATTTTCAAGAGAACTCAGTTGTTTAGAAATTAGGAAGAACAAAGCTAATATCAATTTAGAAAGGAACAAATGTTTGAAAGATCAGCAGCAAGTCAGCAACAACAGAAAAGGCCTGCTATCCGCTGGATGGGAATACTGATCTCTGATGACCTCAATGTTGTTGCAGCAAGACATATCTAGAAAAAGACTGAGGTGATGATCATACAAACCACATTCAGGAAAAAAGACCATTGGATTCAAAACCTCCCCTTTTCAAGTGACCGTATATTCCTTCTTTCAATGCTTGTTTGTTGTTACATGTATATTGTGAATAAGTTTCCTCACTTTGAATGAATGAATTCACTCTTTTCATAATCTGTGATGTCACTTAACAGCTGGGTTGGAATCATCCATAGATTAGCAGTCTCTGCAGATGCCATCTTTGAATGGCATTAGTTATGTAGTTTAGCAGAGAACCACCAACTGGTCACCTGGGGCTGGATATTTGCATCAAATAATAATGGACTAATTGGATTGGCACAGGCCTAGGGATATTTCAGAGAGCACTGTTTTCAGTTCCATTTCCTCTCTTAAGGGACTGACCAGGTAAATGGGGGTCATTTCAAACTAACAAAGACCCTTCTTTTTGTTGCTTTAAATTCATGATACTCTTCAACTTGAGGAAAATGACAGTTTTCACTTTGAACAATGCAAATTAATTTTGGTCTGCCCTCCCAAAGTTTGTCTTCTGTGATGAAAATATTTAGAATTATGTAATAGCCTAGGAATATTGACTTGAAAGTGTCTCCCTCTCCCAAGATGGAAATCATAATGTTGTATCAGCATATTCTGATCACTGTAAGTTATGGTCCAGGGAGATATTTTGAATTCAGGCTTAAAAGCAATGATGGCTTAAAAAAGGTGTCCTTACATTCTTAATAGTTTTATTATTCTTTATTATCTCTTTGCTATCAACTTGTATGGTACTTTCTGGTGACTCTCTAGGCCTCTTATGCACACACAAACACACACACGCACACACACACACACACACACACACACACACTCCATATATTTTCCAAATTTAGTACTAGGAGTTGGGACTCCCATGTATTAATTTAGTTCATTATGGGAAAGTGTTCTGACAATTCTAAAATATGCCCCTGATACTTAAGAGGGTCAGAGGCTTTCCACCAGTAAACCTATTTCATCTGCCTCATTCACACTGGGTTATCATAAATTTAATGGGAAACCAACCTGGCCACCTTGCCTTGGCAGCAATTTTCTCTATACATGTTTAAGGTAAAAATGTTGAGAGTTCTTACCGGGCTGCGCCTCTGTGATCAGCAAAAAGGAAGAGAGAACAGACACCTAGTCAGAGAACGATGGATCAGTCAACAGGCTTGGGTAATAGAAGACTTCATAAATAGCTACAGCTAACCAAACACACCCTCCAGATAATCAGGCCAAAGAAAGACAGGCAGTTCCAGTGTTTAAAGCTTATTTAAACCACAGGAGGCTTTGGAGAACCTTAAAGAGAGGCTATTTTTTTTTTTTTTTTTTTTTTTTTGAGACAGAGTTTCGCTCTTGTTACCCAGGCTGGAGTGCAATGGCGCGATCTCGGCTCACCGCAACCTCCGCCTCCCGGGTTCAGGCAATTCTCCTGCCCCAGCCTCCTGAGTCGCTGGGATTACAGGCACGCGCCACCATGCCCAGCTAATTTTTCGTATTTTTAGTAGAGACGGGGTTTCACCATGTTGACCAGGATGGTCTCGATCTCTTGACCTCAGGTGATCCACCTGCCTCGGCCTCCCAAAGTGCTGGGATTACAGGCTTGAGCCACCGCGCCCGGCCAAGAGAGGCTATTAGTTGTACAATACAGCTTTGCTAATATGGACATATAAGTTTTAGTTATGTGTACATAAGAATAAGGTAGAAACATACAAGAAAACTTTACTGACAGTGTTTAATGTCTTGCCAGAGAAGTTTCTCTCTAGATAGTTTGTGGAGAGGGTACTTAGAGATAGTACAAAGCAAACTGTTTCCCTACAGAGCAGGGTGTTAGCAAATGTAGGCAATCATGGATTTCCCACATACTTAGGGTGCAAAAAAAGCTTACAAAAAACCAGAGGCAGGATTTAGACAGCCCCTTTCCTTGTCTGTATTTTTTCTTTGGTGTTCTATGGAAGGTATGCTTATGAGGATTTTTTTTTTTTCTATGTTGAATGTTCTTGGCCTAGTGATTTGTGTAAACTCTACCAATATGATGTGAAAGATGAGAATGTGATGGGAAAGACAAGGAGCCCCTGACAAACGTAGTTGGGAATGACAAAAACTGTCCAGCAGCAACAGAATGCCGGAGGACCAGAAGACCTTAGAAAACACAACAAGCAGATGTATGACTTCTTTCTTTTGCTTTTCAAACCTAGATTGTGGCTGCTATCAATTTACTCCAACAATCTCTGATAGCTCTGCCTCTTTAGGAGCTTTCTGATGTAACATGAGTGACTAGGATGTGAGTGGGGAAAGAGCTGTTGTTCAGTTTTCCTTTCAATATGTGGGCTAATGCATGGATTTGCCAGAGGCAACCTCCCGAAATCAAAACTGAGAGCACAAACACAAAGAGAGCTAGGAGTTTGTTCAAATGTAGAGATGGTCTTTCTAGGACATAGATAGGAAGCAAAAACTTGTAGCTTTTTACATCTAGTAGGCCTCCATGGATATCTAGTCCAACTGGCTATATGCTATAGAGAGGAAGGTGAGGTTCTGAGATACACAGCTAGTAAACAGGTAGAACCAGAGACAGAAGTTAGATCTCTGATTTCTCATTTTCTTATTCTTTCTATGATGCCAAGCATGGCA